AGCAGAACGATCCGAATGGGGTGATGAAAGATGTCGCGAGCTGGTCAGACTCTTTCATCATGATTTGATGGTACCCGGAGTATGCATCAATGAAGCAAAGGGTTTCGCACCCCTGAGGTTGAGTCGACTACTTGGTCTATGCATGGCAAAGGAAATGGATCCTTTGGACACGCTTTGTTGAGACCCGTGTAGTCGACACACATTCTCTATTTCCCACTCTTTTTTCATACAAAACAAGATTGGCTAACCACTCGGGGTGGTATACTTCCTTGATGAACTCGACCACCAAAAGCTTCGCAATCTCCTCGCCGATGGCCCTACGCTTCTCCTCATCGAAGCGACGCAGGCGCTGCTTCACCGGTGTGGAGCCTGGCCTGATCTTCAAGGCATGCTCGGTGACTTCTCTCGAAATGCCTGGCATGTCTGAGGGTTTCCACGTAAAGATGTCTTTGTTGGCACGGAGAAAGTCGACGACGCGCTTTCCTATTCGGAGGAAAGCGTGGTGCCAATACACACCACTTTGCCCTTGGAGCCACTGGGGTCTATGAGGACCTCCTTGGCGCCCTCTATAGACTCAAAAGACCCGGCCGACTACTTGGGGTCGGGTGCTTCTTTGGCGACCTCCTTCCTAATGGCCGCAAGCTCCTTGGAGGTAACGATTACCACGGCGTGTTCGCAGCACTCGACCTCGCACTCATAGGTGCGCTAGAAGGAGGTGCCGATGGTGATGACACCACATGGTCCCGGCATCTTTAGCTTTATATAGGTGTAGTTGGGGACGGCCATAAACTTCGTGTAGCATGGACGTCCTAGGATGGCGTGGTAGGTTTCGTGGAACCCGACCACCTCGAAGGTAAGGGTCTCCATCCTATAATTGGTCGGATCCCCAAAGGTGATGGGCAGATCGATCTGCTCAAGTGGCATGACCTGCTTTCTAGGCATGATGCCATGGAAAGGCGCTCCGATCGGTTGGATGCGCGATCGATCAATGCCCATGGCGTTGAGCATTTTAGGGTACATGATGTTGAGACCGCTGCCTCCATCCATCAGTACCTTGGTGAGCCGCTTCGTGCCAATGATCGGGTCGACCATGAGTAGATATCTCCCGGTTGTGGGATGCTCTCTGGGTGGTCGGTCCAATCAAAGGTTATGGCGGACTCCAACCATCGGAGGAAGGTAGGCGCGGTCGGCTTGGTCTTATAGACCTCGTGGCGTGCGAGCTTCTGGCGGCGCTTGAAGTCGTAGGCCACCGACCCTCCAAAGATCATGAGGCAGCTATCTAGCGTTAGAAAGTCGCCATCCTTCCCCTCGGTGTCGTCCTTCCGTCAAAGCCTCCGGACAAGAACCGCTTTATGAGACCATAGTCCTTGTATAGATGCTTGACGATGAAAGCATGGTTCGAACATGGTCCTTTGAGCAGCTTCTTGAATTGGTCTGGGGTGACTTCGGCGGGCTTCCGACCCCCTTGCGGTCAGTGGTGGCCACGAGCGAGCCCTCGCGCTGTTGCCTGTTCTTCTTCTTGCTGGGACGGTTGGAGGCGCCTTCGTCGGCGTCCTTGTCCCACTTTGCCTTGCCCTTGAGGCGGTCGAAGATCACTCCAACCGCCTCCTCGCCCGAGGCGTGGCTGGTGGCGATGTCGAGGAGCTCCTTGGTGGTTCACGGGCCCTTACGTCCTAGCTTGTGAACCAGGGGCTCACAAGTGGTCCTAGATAGGAAGGCTCCTATGACATCGGTGTCGGGACAGTGAGCTCTTAGCCTATTGCACCGCCGCACGCTCGAAAAGCGTGTGAATCTCACAATGGGCCCAATGATCCTCGGGCGTCGTGGGCCCTGGAAGCCCCCGGAGCAAGGCCAGCAGCAGCAGCGATGTTCTGGCTCGCCCGGGTGAAGTATGGGAAGGCTTCATCATCCTCGATGATCCTCTGGTTCATATCGTGAGCCACGACGCATGCACGCCCCCCCGGTCTTCGTGGTGCTCGATCTCTTGCTCGAGCTCCGTGCGTTCCTGCTCGAGCTAGAGTCATGCTTCCTCGAGCTCTTGGTGCTGGGCCTTCTGTAGCTCCACCCGAAGGTGAGGTGGGGCCCCTGCATCCCTCTCGACCTCATCGTCAAGGTCGTTCATTGGGGTACCCTCTCCCTCATGGATGCTTTCGATGTGTCCCTCGAGGGTACCTGCCATGAAACATTCACGAGAAGGGTGATGGCTCCCCCCGCTGGAGTCAGAGTCGGAGGGCGACCCGATTCTCCCACGAGGAGGTCGTGGAAAGATTCCGCGACATATTCGGTCATCCCCACGAACTTGTTGTTTGCGGGGGATGGAGGCGTGTGTTGCCCCACATGGTGGCCAATGGTCTCTACGGTGTTGTGGAGACCGAACGGGAGTGCTGTCGGGGCGCTCCGGATGAGGTATTCTAGGGAGAGTGGCTCTCCTCCATCAAGCTATATCATTACGTTGGTGAACGAGAAGGTGAGGTGGCGCAAGTCCTCCCGGGACGATCGGGGTCCTAGGAAGGCACCGAGCTGGTGCTCTAGCCTCCCGTAATCGAAACCGAGGAGTTGGTCGCTCCCGGGGGTGCGAGCCTCCGGTGCATGCAGCTGCAGCTCCTCAAGCGCCTCGGTGATCGCGTCTAGGCTAGTGAAGTGGAGAGGTTGGATGATGGTGGGAGCCTGCACCAACCCTCACTCCATCGTGACAATGAAGTCTAGGTTCCCAAAGTGCACGTGCGTGCTCGGGACCCAGCTGACACCGTGAATAGCCATCCGAGGCCTGGTGTGGATGTCGAGACGCGCAAAAGGCCCCTACCTGGCGCACCAACTGTCGGTGTTTCGAGTTACCACCGACAAGTAAATTTGTATTATTGCGCGTCTAGCTCGAATGGTGTGCTTAGAGGACACGAGGTTTATACTGGTTCGGGCAGAAAGTCCCTACGTCCAGTTCATTGCTGCTGCTCGTGTTACTAGCACCGAAAGTTTGTAGTAGGGGTTACAAACGAGCGAGAGAGGGAAAGGATCCCAAGTCTCTGATGAAAGGAGTGAGTGGGTGCTGAGAGCTCGATCGCTGCTCAGTTGTGCGTTCGTGTCATGCTCTTGTGCGGATCTATATCGGATCTTGATGGGTCGATCAGTTCGGGATCCCCTTCATGGGGCGTCCTGCTTTCTCTTTTATAGGCCAAGGGAAAGTGCGGGTTATAGCGGAGGAAAAGAAGAAGAACGAGAGAGAGGAAGGCCTCCAGGATCGCCGGGTCCTTCTCCTTCATGTGGGTCTTGCCGACCCTATAGATGTCAACAGGGACGGCTCCACGTCACGGTCCTATCCATCACTGGCGCCATGCGTAGGCGTCATCCGCCGGTCATAGCGCTCCACACCATCCTATCGGACGTCGTGGTGAACTGACGCGCCTGTCAGTGTTCGTATGAGGGTTAGGCAGAACAGCACCGGTACGCCCGACGCTGTTCTTGATGTGAATCCTCTGGTATGGCCCGTCGTGGCCACGGGTTATATCGTGGCGTGTCGGTCTCTTCCCTGGTGTCAGAGTTTTGACCCAGGCCCATACGCTTGGACCTGGAGTGGTTGGCGGCGGTATGGGTCCCCGTCGGGCGAGATGGAGCCCGCACCTAAGGGGTCTGGCGAGGCGGAGCCCGCGGTCTTGGGGTCGGGCGATGCGGAGCACAAACCCAAGGGTCGGGCTAGGTGGAGATCGCGGACTCGGGGTCGGGCGAGGCTCGAGGTCGGATGAGGCGGAGCCCGCCCCAGAGGTTGGGCGAGGCGGAGATCGCGACCTCGGGGTCGGGCGAGACGGAGCTCACCGCCGGAGGTCGGGCGAGGAGGAGATCGCGGCCTCGGGGTTGGGCGAGGCGGAGCCCGCCCGAAGGTCGGGCGAGGCGGAGATCACAACCTGGGGGTCGGGCGAGGCGGAGCCCGCACACCTGGGGGTCGGTTGGAGGTGTAGGCGCGCTTTTGATTGCTCGGTTAAATCAATGTTGATGACCATTAGCTCTTTCTCTTCGGGTACCTTAGTATTGGTCCCCGACACTAATAAGTGAGAAAAAGCCAACTAGCTGGCTAACCTCAACTAATTTAGGCTAATTTTTAGCCCTAACTTGTAACTAACTTAGCTAATCAAACATGCCCTAAGTATGACTATTTCTTTGGTCTTCATAAAAGAGGAGATGAAAGATAGCTACCAGCATCCTCCGAGATCAAGCACCAAACTTTAAACACCTTAGTTTAAGCACCAAACTAACTCTAGTTAGTATTTGTTCTAACCATTGTCTATGGTTTATCTATATCTAATATCTAATATGAAAAAAAAAAGTTATTAGCCGGAGACATCCTTAATTATAAGGGTTGGTGTAGTTTTAGTTATTATGGGGTTTATATAACAAATTATGACACTCACACATTTTACACTTTACCATTAAAACTTGTACTTGATCTTTTTGTTCATTTGATATTCGTGTTTGACAGGTATGGTTATCCAATGGTGTTCCTAGTTCCTCAGTTATTCTCATGTCACATGTTTTGCACTTATCTAATCTATCCCTTATCCTAAATTATAAATACGAAATTTTACTATATTTTGATTTTGCTCGGACCTTTTCATATAAATAGTGGCAAAACAAAGCACCACCGTCACTGTTTTTTCCAGCACGGAAATTTTCATTCAAAATGCGAAAATATACTCCTGTAACAATCCACGAGACAGGAGGGAGTTTTATGAAATATTGCGATGAAGTAGGGGTGTAACCGTGATTCCTTCTATAGTTCCATTCCATCACCACCGGCTAAACTCCCCGCCCTCGATCGAGAAGACCTCACCTCGCCCTCCGCCGCCGCCGCCGTTTCCTCCTCCTCGCGAGTCCTTACCTCCCCACTACGGCGCGCGGTTGGATCCAGATCGGAGGTACTCCCCACTCGCCACGCTTCTTCTTCGCGTCACAAGCGACCCCAGACCCCTCGCCGGATCGGATCTCGCGCGGCGTCGGTGCCGGAGCCGGAGATGATGTCGTCGTCTTCGTCGGATGCGGCCGCGGCGCTGGAGCTTCAGGAGTCCGGGTGGGAGGAGCTGCGGCGGGAGGCGCGCAAGCTGGAGGGCGATCTCGACGTGAAGCTGTCCTCCTACGCGCGCCTCGCCGCGCGTTCCTCCTCCTCCGCATCCGTCTCGGGCGCCGCCTCCCCCACCGCCGACCGCTCCTCCTGGAAGTCCATGGAGTTCGAGATCCAGTCGCTGCTCGGCAAGCTGCAGGACGTCAACGACGCCATGAGCCGCTGCGCCGCCTCCAGCGCCACCACCACCTCCGTCTCCCAGAAGCTCGCGCGCCACCGCGACATCCTCCACGAGTTCACGCAGGTCCCTTCCCTCCGCTCCGCTCCTCGCACTCTCGTTTCGTTGAACCACTGGTTAATCGCTTCAAGTGGTGGTTCGTTCGTTCGTGGAAGCAGGAGTTCAGGAGGACGAGGGGGAACCTGAGCTCCATGAGGGAGCACGCCGATCTACTCAGCTCCGTCAGAGACGACATCACTGAGTCCAAGGTTCATTTCTTCCCAGGAACTCTTCCACTGCTGCAATGTAGTACATGCCGTTTTCACTGTTGTATGTATTGTGCCTGTCTTAACACTCTTCTGTGGAAATCCCTGGCCAGGCCACCGGTGGCATGTCGCCAAGAGTGCATTTGCTCAGGGAACGAGCTTCCATTCATGGCAGCATCAACCAGGTATTCCTGGAGTTAAACAAGGCTTGCGCTGGTTTACATTTGGTTTATTGTAGTTTCAGTATGCCACAGTTGCTTAGCTTCTTTGGAAGAAGTTAGTTTAAGAAATTAAATGTTCATCTTAAGCTGATATGAATGATGTCATGTGCGAAACTGTATGATAGAAATTTGTGGAAGCAAATGTATCTTTCACTAGCCACTGCTGCAGCAGATCCCATTTCACTCATTCTGCAATCAAGAGTGTAAAAGAATAGGCCGCTAGGAACGTTACGACTCAAGAACATTTGCACTGTGCCAATGTCTGTCAATATACATTTGTGCAGAGCTCTATCTCTGGCGCAAGGAACTAAGCTGCCTTTTTTTTTTTTGTTCGATTCCAGATTGATGAGGTAATTGGCCAAGCTCAAAGCACAAGAGTAGCTCTTTCCAATCAGAGGGCCTTGTTTGGAGATATTCAAGGAAAAGTGAAGCAGTTGGGTGAAAAGTTCCCAATAATCAGAGGTCTTCTTGGTAATATTTTGATCCCTTCTTTGCATGCTGCAGCACTGTTTTTTTTTTTGGTTGTTATGCTATAATGCAATTGTATTAGTCACTGCTGTGTGATATTTTTCCCATGGACTCCCTGCAGCCACTGTGTTGCTACATCCATATAATTATGCCTATCCGTCCTTGCAGGCACCATTAAGCGGAAGAAATCAAAGGACACTATAATTCTTTCAGCAGTGATCGCGGCCTGCACCATCTTTTTGATTATTTACTGGCTTTCAAAATGATGGGATCTCACCTGAAAGAAAGTTCCAAGATCTCCCTTCTTGGCCCGGATTAGCTGATAATATCAGATAGTGTATCAGCACTGAGAAAGATGGAACGAGAGACCAGTTTCTTCAGCTTTCATTGATTTGTTCGACATCTATTGTACCTTGTATGAGATTCCACATATGTAGAGAATTTTTGCTGGTTCAGTTCAGTAAATATATACACATACATGGTAACATGAAGCTGATGCTTTCTGTTAGAAAAGTGCTATCTGAACGCTTAACTTTAGATGTAAATGAAAATTTGCGGCATTTTTATGTTCGGAGCCTGCATATTTCAAATTAATTAGTTGAAATGATGGCGTGGAATCCATCCATCAAGACTAGCAATTATACCCTGCTCTCCTCAGCCATTAACACCTGAACAACTGATATGAATGGGGAATTTAGCTGACAATCAAATGCCTTGAATCATTAAAACGATCGATATCAACAAGTATAGTTTGATACATATTGGCATAAGCTGCTTCAATACACTGTTAACAGCTTTTGTGATGAATAATTAGCCTTTCCTTTTAACTCTATATATAAAAAAAAAACTATGTACACCCAAAGTTACAAGTTTGCGACAAACTGGTTGAGCTGGAAAGACCCATCTCAAACCCAAAGTAAGAAGAGAAACACTGCCGATGTTGAGCTTGTGGCCGTAATCTTTTGTTCTATCTTTATAACAGTCAGAAACTCGGCCACCAAATTCGCTTGGATAAGAGGACCACATTGTCTTGAGATGAAGACTGATCCAGGCCATCTCAGCAAAACTCATCGTTATGTTAAAATATGGTGACCGCATTGCTGATGGCAGGAGAAAGACAAAAACAAAAAGCCAGGTGCATTAATCAGACCCCATATAAGGGTAGAGCTACTCTGACAAAAGAGTAACAAAGTGCCCCTGTGAAAACGTAGCTGTCAACTCGGTCAAGAATTCCACCTGCATTGTAGCATTGTGTCACAATCATGCATGAAGTATGAAATACTGATAGAACATGAATACAATGCGGCTATGCATTTCTCCACTTCTATGATATATATTTTCTCCAAGGATGATTATTTCAATGCAGTACAAGCAGTGTAGAGAAGGGCATAGGGGAGATTAACACTGCTTACCATGTCCAGGAATGAGTGACCCAGAGTCCTTCACACCAGCATCACGCTTAATCAGAGATTCAACAAGATCCCCAAATAATGAACCCAGAAAGATCAGGATTCCATAAGCTGTAGCACTGATATCAACGAAATAGCTATTAGGCACTGAAATGAAATGTAGCCCAAATATTTTCCATTCGCAAACAAGGGAGTGCAGTATTGCCATCTATATGTTGCAACTTTGAAGAAAATGGTAAAATTATGATAGGCTGCAAGTCCTTTCAGGATAATCAAGTCCAAAGTCTAATAAGAACATAATATAGTTTTCCTTTTTGGTTTTGCTCTTGATGTGCTAGATGGCACTTCCACAATAATAGTAGAAATTCCAGAAGTCACACCTCAACAGCGATCTTGGCCAGCGTAAGACAGTTGACAGCAGCACAGTGGTAAGTACACAGCCAGCTAGACCAGCTAAAGCACCCTCCAAGGTCTTCTTAGGGCTTATGTTAGTCAAAGGAGTACGACCAAATGCCTGAAACAACGAATAAATAACATGGTCACATGGTACTCCTTTCAACTACTAAACTGTAGACTTAACTGACCACACGTTATACCAATAAATTAACTGGGCACTGCATAAAGCAGGTATCAGTTGAGTGCAGCTAGTCTTAAGGTGAAGCTTCAATGGTTCACCTTACACCATGAACCACATGGTTTGTTGGCATCATAATTCATGAGCAACAGGCCTTATTTCAGAAAGTGTCTTAAGGTATACAGATAACAGATACTTGCTATAACTAAAATAATGAGCTACAAGAACCCAAACAACTACACTTGTTTCTTAGTCCAATATTACACTGGTGCATTGGTAAAAGTTAAACACATGGTGTTATGCAGCACAAAATAAATAACATCGACAAAGCCTTTAGTCCCACGCAAGTTGGGTACTCTAGATATGGAACTCAACAATAGAAAGAAATAAAAAAGAAAATAAAATGTGTTAATTAAAGAGCATACCCTTCCACAAAGGAAAGCAAATGTATCAGCAGCAATGATGCTACTAATCGCCATCAAGGTTGCTACAAGTCCAACTGTCCAGTGAGCTTGTCCACCAAGAAGAATTGGCCAGCTGTATGCTATACCTGGCAAAACACACTGTATATTAGGGGAGGGCCTTACAGGTAGCAAAGAAATAGATACACTAGAACCATATGACCTTGTAAGGACTTAGATAATAAAAATATCCTTGTAACTAACCAAGACAGCAGGAAGACTAATTAGATGGGCACAGGCCAATATAGTTAGCACACACATTATTTGTATCAACAGTAGCAAACTAAAGAGCACAAGGGCTGGCAGAGCAAAAAAGACAATCCAACCAATAAACTTACTTGTATTTAAGGCAGGGGCAGCTAGTCCCGAACGAAGCTTAACCCAGAAAGAAGGTAGATAGCCGCAATAAAATAACCCAAAAACTGAACTAGTTAGCTGAGCAAAACGAGGATTTCCTCTTTGTAAAAGCAATGATATTGCAATAACAAATGCAGAAAACGTCACAGTAACATCCATGCGTCCATAGTACCTAGGAAAATAGACAGGTGAAATATCAGAAATCAAAGCTACGGTCATATTTACATGAAATAACAGTTGAATATGTAGAATTCTTAAATAGATGCATGTGGCCCATTTTCGCTCTCAGATTGAGATTGTGAATCCTTAACAGTATCACCATGATATATCTACAATCCCCTGCCTATCTTGTTGAAACTAACTAATGAACTTCAAAGAGGTTCTGCGCTATTGATGTTACAAATCCCATGCAATTAAGAAGAAAATTGTAAGCTCCAAAGTCACCTAAACTCAACTATATTGTGGGGATGTTAGAACAAGCATTATTCCTTGAAATTTTCCTTACTGCATTCAGGAATGAGAATATAATCCCAATATCCTCAACCCGAAATCTTAATAATCACACCAGCAGATTACTCAATTTCACAGGCTGAAAAGTTATAAGGCTAACATTTTTTCAATGTAGCTGATGAACTAGCTCCAATTCATTTTTCATGTTCTATTTGTCAGAACAGTTTTTCCACTGCAACCAGTTCATCAAATTGTCAACAAAATTACATAGGAATAGGAATATAGGATGACTTAAGCAGTAGGCAGCTCACAATCACATTACGCTAAAAGATGGATGCTAGTCAAATCATAGCTAAATTACACCTCCGCTCGAAGCAAATTTTCGGCTATGAGAGAGACAGAGCACGCGCTAAAAGATAAGCAACGGAAGAAGAAACGCGATGCATACTTACACAAGTAGAGTAACAAACTTGGAATCATATTTTTTCTGATACATATAGGATTTACTAAACATTTTACAAGATATCAGCAATATCAAAAATTAAATAAAGCTCTACATTAAAGTATCTCAAAAATGACATGCAATATTTTTATCATGTAGATCTGGTGACAAGGAACACAACAAAATTTGTTTCAACAAATTTGGAGCCATTTTGAGCAAGTTATAAATTCCCAAAGCATTTAAATAAAAAACTGAAAATCATTTCTTAAATCCTTTCTGAAAATCCATGTTCAAAACTGCTAGATCCAACCGGCTTTCTACCCAGCGTGCATCCCTACGGTGGCGGTGGCCCCTCTGGTCGGTCACCTGCCCCACCCTGACCCCGAGGTAGAAGAAAGGTCACTTGTTGACCGGCGTGAGCTCGCCTTCGGCGAGGTGGCCGCGACGAGGTCACCACCAACGTGACCACCTTGTGACCAGACTTAGAGATCATAAGCTGTATGCTAAGTTTAGCAAGTACGAATTTTGGTTGAAGAAAGTTCCTTTCCTTGGTCACATTCTGTCAGAAAATGGAGTTTCGGTCGATCCAAGTAAGGTGCAAGAGGTTATGAATTGGAAGGCACCGACCACAGTTCCTGAGGTTAAAAGTTTCTTAGGATTAGCCGGTTACTATCGTCGTTTTATACCGGACTTCTCGAAGATTGCCAAGCCAATGACAAGTCTGCTACAGAAAGATCACAAGTTCGTGTGGACAGAGGAGTGTGAAGCAGCTTTCCACACCTTTGGAAGGCACCGACCACAGTTCCTGAGGTTAGAAGTTTCTTAGGATTAGCCGGTTACTATCGTCGTTTTATACGGACTTCTCGAAGATTGCCAAGCCAATGACAAGTCTGCTATAGAAAGATCACAAGTTCGTGTGGACAGAGGAGTGTGAAGCAGCTTTCCACACCTTGCGGAAACTGTTGACCACTGCTCCTGTTCTAACACAACCGGACATTGAGAAACCATTTGATGTGTTTTGCGACGCATCGAAAACTGGATTGGGCTGTGTTCATACAACTTATGATCTCTAAGTCTGGTCAAGACAATTCTAAGATGCTCTTCATGATCCTTCTTGTTCTCGGAGTACACCAGAATGTCATTAATGAACACAACCACAAACTTATCCAATTCTGGCATGAAAACTGTATTCATCGGAAACATCTTACAGCGCAAGGATGGGCATGAGAGCGCAGATGGCAGAGCACGCGCGGGACACGTAGCGCGGCGGCGGGGTCCCGCCTCCGCCGGCAGTGCTGCGGACGAGCTCAAAGTACTCCCGGGAGCCGGCAAGGACGGCGGCCGCGACGGTGGCGGCGAACACCCAGCCTCCGGCGACCACGACGCCGCCGGCGCCCAGCCCGATGGCGACGCCCACGAGGACCCGCTTCTGCAGCTGCCTGGCCTTGTCGGCCTTCCTGGCGGCGGCAGTGTCCTCCCCGCCTCCGCCGCCTCCGCCGCCGCCGCCGGCGGATATGGCGGCGGCCGCGAGCAGCGGGAAGCGGCGGCGGAGGCGGAGCGGCGGCGGGGACGG